CTGATAAGTTCCTTATAGTCTGTATAACGACTGCACGAGATATATTATAAATAAAAGTGCGGTAAAGACGCGGAATTTTTATTTATGAAATATCGCCTTCATGTCGACAATTTCGTGTTAAAACCTGGTTGTAGAAGGCAAATAAAATCTGAAGCAAATAACTCGTCAAAATAACGAAGAAATCGTTTGGTCAGAATCGATTTATTAAGTGTTCACTCAACATGGAGCAATACATTTTTAAATCCAACATTAATAAAACTCGATTGAACAAAAAAAATTAGCAGTCAAAATCAAGTAAAATTCTATTTACAAAAACCCCACAAGTCCAAAATAAGATTTTACATACATTTTTATTATACCTTTGATCACCAAAGATAATTACAACAAGTGGCTAATGATGCAGGTTAAAAAAACTTCGGATATTAAAACATGTAATAAACAAATTCCAATATTTGATAATGCCCATCACTCAACTGAAATTACTGAAACTTTTATCCTAGCTCTAGCAAAGGTTTAAATTATTTCCATTGCTTGAGCATGAATGTGATTACTATTGATATTGCATCGATTAGATCGCATTATCTTAAAAAAGTACAACATGCAAAATCATTAGATTTTAATGAGAACTGCAGGAGTAAACCCAATCTTGGATAAAAACTGGTGTTATATTTTAAGACATTCGCATAGAAACCAAATCTGAATACATCTATCCAGATTTATGGTGTAACAAGCACATTCGGTACTAAAATATCTCTCAAGTCGTTAACAATAATCTGAAAATGTATTGTGAATAAAGCTAGACTCATGATTGACACAATACAAGTGATACTACATATCAACGAAGATAACATTCAGCATTCAACTCTATTCACATAACTGAAACAATTAATAATTAAGAAAACAGCTTGTGTGGAGGGCAGTAAAGAATTTAGAAAAAATATACGATTTAAAAGGCTGGCGTGTGTAGGACAAATAACCTGGCACCAAGATTTGCTTCTGCACGTGAATGATTTCATGAGTTTACATTAGCTTTTTAATATTGCGTCTGAACACGTCGGAATGCATCCGATAAGTTGGAGGCAATCGACGGTGCCGTGAGCAAAAATGAAATTACTGAATAGTTAATTCTTTCATGGTCGATACTAACTTTCATGACGAAGATTATTGATGAAAGAAAAAAGAAAACGTTTGTAAAACAATGAAGTTCATTTAAAATTAATTTACTGGAAAGTGACGTTGACATACCGAGAAATGGAGACATTAACATTCATGTTATTATTTATTCAAATTTTCATTAACTATGGAACAAAATTTTACGATTGCGTGTTCATTAGGTGAAATTCTAATTACTGATGGAAAGTTTACCAATGGTTTGAAGAGAAAAAAGACTTCAGTTGTGTCATGTAAATTATGCTCGGAATAAGCATGAAATAAAGGAACCACTTGATATGGTAACACGAGCCTTCAGTGAGAGGTTAGGTTAAAGATGTCATCGCCTTCGTTAGTGGTTGGGTCACGCCTTGGCATTCCACATCCGCGCTAACCTATCGACAGAGCTGGGCAGCGCTACTTTGAAATATAGCGGCGCTACCGCTACCGCTACATGCTCTAAATGTAGCAGGCGCTACCGCTACCGCTACACCCACTAGATTGTAGCGAGCGCTACCGCTACCGCTACAGTAAAATGTAGCGCCGCTACATTTGCCGCTACAATGGCCAAAATTATTGGAAATCTCTAAATATTTATTGTTCTGCTATTGGGATTTACTCATAAACATTTAATGATAATAAAACATTTTCAAAACATATCAATGTAAATTTATTGCCATTAACCTAACCGAAATAGTACGGGTTAGATACAGTAAATAAAAGTTAGTTATTTCTATGTTTTACCTTCCCTACATGGATGTCTACTTTAATCTACCAATCTAAAAAATTATCCACATATACATATAAAAAATCAGTCTTTTATTTGTATATATGTATATGTGGATTATTTTTGAGATTGGTAGATTAAAGTAGACATCCATGTAGGGAAGGTGAAACAGAAAAATAACTGTGTAAAAATAACTGTAAGCAAACTGAAACATGAAAAAATACCTGTAAGTGGAAACTGGTAACAACTTAAAACAAGTAACAACTAACATGTTGACACTAGTAACAGGCTGAGGTTGACAATATTGCACCGAAATCTTTTATACAGTTTTATTCTGTAATTTATCTTATGTATGCATCATGCTGGCTTTTAAATAATAGTTAATTCTATTAAGTAAAATTTAAAGGCTTTATCTATAAATGTAGCGGTAGCGCTTTAGCGGCAAAACCTCGTATCGCTATTTAAATATGTAGCGGGCGCTACCGCTACCGCTACATTGCCTTAAATGTAGCGCCGCTACCGCTACCGCTACTGAAATGTAGCGCGCTACAGCCCACCTCTGCCTATCAAGCCACATTTCACAACGACCATTAGGTAACATTGTGATCTTTCACGGCCTTCATTACAATTGAACAACAGCATACTATCAGTAAATGTAATTATTAAGAGTTATCGCTTCTTGAATGCTGAAATAATGATTCAATGCATCAATTGCTTCTATTTCCTCGCAGTGTTTTTCGTCGAGTTTTGCCAGCGCGGTTTCTCACGGTTTGCCACCGGCACTTATGTTCCTATTAATCGTCTAGAGCCTGATCGTTTACTGAATTCTTGGTCATAAGACACTTAAGCAGAACTTAGTGTTCCCAATTGTTTAACCTTTCTGGGACTAAGTGTAAGTAAGCAAGTTCTTTCGTGATAATCTTTGTGAAGTTCAAGTAACTCGATCTTGCTATCCACTAAGTGACTTGTGACGTTTGAAGTTCAGTTCCATCTTGATTGCTCGCGAGACCTTGGGTGGCGCTACCAAGGGCCGCTGTCATCGGCAATTTTCTTCCATAAAAGAAGTTGCATTGCTTTAATTTTAATATTTCCCACTCGCCGGTACATTTAAATACAACTTAGCCAAAATGGAAGGAAAAGGTTCAATAATCCAGCGCTGAGTACGTTTCATCGAATTTTATTTAGGGACACACAGAAGCTGAAATTATTAGTAATAAGTCACAATAAATATAGAAAAACATGTAAGCTAGTTAATAGCAGTACAAGAAATTATTGAAAGCATTGTAGAAGGTTTACGCGTGAACTCATGGATACGGGAGTTTTCATGGGAAATAGTTGCTCAAACCAGGTTATAAGTTATAAAATATCCGAAGATTTGGTCAATATTTCTTCAGAAATTGCAGTAGTCCCTACAGATTGAACCATTGCCGAAAAATGCATAGAAACTTCAGAAATTAATATTATTAGAAAAATTTCGATAAATATCAAAATAATATCCCCAAAAAATTAACTTTGAAACCACACTCGATTTGAGCAAATAGACCATCAATACTTGCCATTACAAGCAACAAAATGACAGAACGGCCTCCATCACTTCCAATATTCGACATTACAGGAAAAGGGGCCGACACCCCAGACGATTATTTTCGATGAACATGAAATGTCTAATAGATGAACAAATCGATTGGAAATTAACGAACATGATCGGCAAACATAATCCTCGTGAACGCACACGTGCTGAAAAACATTAAGTTTTAATACTGAAGAAGTACGAAAATTCAAATATTATATAGTAGGCTGAAAATTTCTTACTTCTAGCCTGCCATTAGACCGCTAAGATCAAGCACGACCAACCCTGACATGGCCGTTACATTTTTGAACGCAATCAGTTAAGCTGCTGCTCCCGACTGGCGTACTGGGGCCATACTTTCAAAACTCGCTAAGTGAACGTAAGTACTTACGCTCTATTTTCTTGTCTATGATTGGTGTATTTTGCTTGAAAGGCCGTCAATGATTGGCTGATGAACTTACGGTCTCTTGTATTTTTTGAAAGTATAGGCCCTGGTTCCTCTCTTATAGGATTTAAACTCCAGCGCCAGGGAAAGTTACTGCTTGCGATAGTGCTGAAATTCTAATGTATTGTGAAATACCGTGATATTAGTGAATATATAATTGATTTGTTATGCTTAGGTATTTACTCATTCTTTTCTGATTTTAGGATCACGCGCTTTATCCCTTAACTCCTATCCTTGCTCTCTCTTTACACATTAGATTTATCACGGCTCTCTCGTGTCCAGTTCGCAAGTATTTGTTTCAGAGTATCCGAGTTGCTAATTTTTTAGTTAACTGTTTCCCATGTTTTTTTTAAGAATACCCGTTCTGATTTTCCTGCTTTAATAATTTATTGTTTGTAGCTTGCCATTGGCGTTTCAAATCCCGTCAAGTCCAAGCCTTGCTTACTGAACCAATAAAAAAAGTGTCTTAGTTTCCGGTCATTGGTAGGCGTGACGAGAGGACCATCCGAACTTTTGAGGTGACGCGACTAGTAGTCTAAATTTCCGAGGATAGTTCGTCACGTCAATATAATGTCGCTTGATCACAGGAACGCTTGCACCTTGCAGAAGCAGACGGCCGTAATGTCGGTCTCGAAACGCAGCCGAATGTAGCGAATGCTACCAGATGCAACTGCAACATTCGTGGTGATGGTAAAATTAACTTAGTGCAGTAAAAAACCAAGATATGCAAAAAATATATATACACGGATTACACAAGTCAAGCCTTATTATGGATGCAAATTCAGTCCGAAATGATTGAGAGTCTCATTTGAACAGCAGACAATAATTTTTTATTCGTTTGTTCAACTGGAGGCTAGAGGCAATAACTCCAATGTCGGTAGCAGTGTCATTGACTCGCCTGAATATAAAGGCGTGGGTAACAGCCTCACTCACTGGTCAAGGTATACTTCTTGTAGTCTGTGCCCTCACTCACTCACTGGTCAAGGTATACTTCTTGCAGTCTGTGCCCTCACTCACCCACTCGCTGGTCAAGGTATACTTCTTTTAGTCTGTGCCCTCACTCACTCACTGGTCAAGATATACTTCTTGTAGTCTGTGCCCTCACTCACTCACTCACTGGTCAAGGTATACGTCTTGTAGTCTGTGGCCGCGGTGCTCGGAGTTTTGCCGATGATTGGATCTGTGGCCCCGCCGGTGTTACCTGCCTGTTGTCATTATATTGATGCAGAATTAATTACTTGGTTTTCTTATTATAACTGCTTGCATATATAATAAATGTGGTTATATCATTACAAAATTGCTTGTGGATCCGTAGAGCTCATTCAATGCTACGCTCAACCAGGTTTTAACGAAGTAAAATTGACAAATTCTTTGTATTATATATAATGCATCGTATAGATAACATAAATGGAAGTTATTTATGTCCAAGTATTGTCCGAATCTTTAATTTTAGTTTCAATTCGTTTTCAGGTATTTTATTAGTTACTATTTAATATTAATGTATCATTAACTGGAAAATTAATTACAACTGAGTCATTATGGTTGCGGCACACTTCTTGAGATGATGAGAAAAGAGTAAGATATGATGACAATGTGAATCATTGTCATTGGTTAAAAAGTAAAAGAGGTTACACAAAAGACTGCTATTGTTATAAGCACCAATTCACTAATTCCGTGCAAATTTGCACGCAATTATTTCTTACTTTACATTAGAACGACCGCGACTTTTCTTATGACAATTAATAGCGTATGTTATGAATCGATGGCAAACAAATAACACTTGTCCGCCGTGAGTGAATTTATGGCACAACATCTTCTTAATTTGTCAGTATTTGTGTCTCTACTAAACTTCTAAAGGCCTCTCCCTCTAATAACGAGTGCATGTTGCTCTAATTAGAAGACTCTTTCTGTATATGCACAACTTACTTGGCTTTTGCATAGTTTCTTGTCGGATTATATCTTTGATCCAATTAATTCCCCAAAAAAACTTTTCTCGCTCACCCGGACAACAACGTTCCTGAAGTATAGGACATCGCCGAAGGCTGGTCCTGTGAGAACCACCGTCCTGACGGGCAGACTGGCCTGCAGGTCTACCATCACCCAGTTGTCCTCGTCTACGGTACAGAAGCAGTCCTCCATTGTGTTGTAGCATGTAGTGCCAGCCGTCTGAAGTATCAAGTGTGTTATCATTATACAGGGTTAATCTTTTTGATAGACCCAATGCCATAAATTCGTATATATCTGAAATACGGATAGATTACGTTTGAAAAATAATTATTTAATTGATGTGCACAATTATCACCAGCATATCTGCAGGAGAATATCCAGTGTAGGTCCCGCCAGTGGAGACGGGCTTGCCCATGGCGACGTCGACGGCCGTAACGGGCGCCATCCGTTTTGGCCAATACGCCACAACGGTCGGCTCAGGGAACGTAACTGCTTCGTAACTCGGGTCCGTTTGGAACGACCACACCGAGCACATGTCGTCTGTTCAACAACGTGTTTTCCATTTGAAATTTTACGCACATAATACTTGTTAAGTTCTAGTAATTCATACATGAAAGGTGGGCTTAACTCCTCAAAACTTTTTCATGTTAATATTTTAGTAAATATATGAAGGTGAACATTAAAATAGCTATATACCATTAATAATTTAGATCAAACTACTCCGGGTCTGTTGTTGATCAAAATTCGCTTTAACAGAGTCGGCAGCGCTCAAAACCCAGTAAAGCCATGAATATGTTTTGAAGAACCACAAGGAATAGGCAGTGAAAACTTTATTAGCTAAATTGATGTAAAATATATTTACGGTATTTTACGTTCATTTTTGGATATAAAATTTCATTAAATTTTGATGGGATGACGGCATACCTGACACTGAGAAGATGGTACATGTATAAATTATGGTTGGATGACAGCATACCTGACACTAAGAAGATGGTACATGTATAAATTATGGTAGGATGACCGCATACCTGACACTGAGAAGATGGTACATGTATAAATTTTGGAAGGATGACCGCATACCTGACACTGAGAAGATGATACATGCATAAATTTTGATAGGATGACAGCATACCTGACACTGAGAAGATGGTACATGTATAAATTATGGTAGGATGACAGCATACCTGACACTGAGAAGATGGTACATGTATAAATTATGGTAGGATGACGGCATACCTGACACTGAGAAGATAGTACATGTATTCTCTCGGATGCAGAAGCTGTAGCACAGGACGGTCTGAAGGACCTGCCTCTGGGGCGGCAGAGGGTATAACGTCGGGGGGCAGACGCTGCGATGCCTCGACTCGTGAGCCAGCGCGAACTGGGATGAGATGGCAAACATAGAGCGAATGTAATTTCGCCAATTTAACATCTTGAATTTTCAATAAGACTTAATTTTATCTTTTGACCTTGAATGATATATATCTCGTGTATTTATTGATCATTGTGTATCAATAATACACAACTCATTGTTTTCTCTTGTTCATCAGGTTATCATCATTTATTTTCCGCTTGTAATATATAATTAAAATATTAATAAGAATATTCTGAATTTCTTGGAAGCGAGCGAGAAGGAGAAGAATTTGAACCGTCGCGTCAAGTTCAGTATATGTAGATAGATCGAGTTGCCGATCCTGTAGCAGCGTACAGGTTTTATACTGACTTGCTCTACGAAATTTATATCAGAGCCAAATGCAGGAAGTGTTTCAGTATTAGGACATTATGATCCGTCCATTTTCTTGAGTGATTGATTAGGGTTTACTTGCAAGGATTTGTGTAATGAAACTCAGCATCAGCCAAGGTATGACTTAGGAATTGTTCTGGTGTAATGTTAATATTTGACTGTATCTTTATACGTATTTCTGTGCTAATGCAAAATAACTCGAGATTAGTTTGAAATAACTCTTTGTTTCGTATTGAAGATAGTGAAGGCTTTACTTCTTTATAGGCAGTCTACCGCGAGACCAACCATTGCCGCCTATTCTGCCGCTCCAGAGCTCAGTTTCTATAGTGTTAAGATTACCAAATTAAAGTTCCTTAGATTTGTGCTAATTTCCATTCATACTTTTTATCGTTCGTGTTTATTCTTAAATTATTGTTTCAAAAGAGTAAACCTAATCAAACCTCGACTCGCAAGTTCGTCTCACCGTCTTTGATTTTAGTCTTGGTCGGGTTAGTACAGGAATTGATTGTGTTTGGTTAATATGTTGGCTTTCATTATTAACTGACCTTTTGAAAAGTCCCCGAGAGTTTGTTTGTCGACAGCGCATGATGAAACAAAAGGAACAATGTTGTGACCACCTGAATGTTCTTGGAGTAAAATTTTCGCTTCATTGCGAAAATTGTTCGCATGAATGTTTTGCCTCAATTAAAGGATTTGTATTTGGTTTTAATTTTGGGTTATATTATTCTTGCAAAATTCATTTGCCGATTTAATCGTTAAAATGTGAAGGCATTTCAACACCAAACCGCAGGCACTAAACGTGGTCACGCAAAACTGAAACACTCCTTCGCCTACCTCCACTTCTGATGAACTGTGTGTCATGCCTCTGCCAGCAACCAGGGTCAGCATTTATAATTCAACATCATTCGTGATTATTCTTAAGCTTCTAATCAACGATTATTCTTATATTCAACCAAATGGTTATTTTAAATGAAAGTTTAAAATGTTCAAGGAGTTTAAAAAGAAAATTGCAGTTGAAAAACGTACGTCTCATGATGTTAGTGCAAAAAGAATGTAAGCGACTCCGCAGCCGAACAATGAACAACTTCATACGATATCAAACATGGCTATTAGTAAGAAAAGTTTGATAAAAACCTAATGAATAATAAATTATTATGTGAAAAACTTTTCCGATTGGGCTGCAATCATGGTCGACTATGCCTCGAAATTATTCTTGATATATAGAGAGTATTTTATTTGAATTGTAGGCACATGGTTCACTTTCAAACGGGTCTCTCACGTACATATGAAATTAAATAACTGTAATTAGTTCATAAATTAATGTTTTTGCAATTATAATCGATTCTAATCGAACCTAATGAATGTAAATGAGTTGTGTTTATTTTCTCGGTAATTCATTGCGAATAGAAAATTCATCACAATATTTACTAGAGTTAAGAATTTCGGATAAACTGTTATCAAATAGACGAAAAAACATGGCAACTGTCGATGAATTCTGTGTATGAATAGCTGAGAAGTTTAATGATCTTAAAGTTTGAAAGATCTATAGTCTGTGAGACTGAAAACTTTTGACAAGTAATAGACGATTTGTGATACTCAAGAGTTGTTAGAGCAAGACTGAATTTCACCCTAAGTAATTTTGTCATCGAAATAAAACGGAAATAAGAATTTGCTTCATAAAATACTACATTTTTAATTTCAAACGTAGCAATCATTATTTGTGATTGTACTAAGTTCGTTGGTTGAAGAACGTTTCTCAAACTAATAGCTGACTCAACACACGACGACGTACTTTTTAAAACAAAAATTTTACTAATAATGACTAGAAAATGTTAAACAGAATAACCATTATTGTTCATTAATGTTTATTTTAACAAGAGCGTTGAGAATTGTTCACAATTTAGTAACGTAAATCCTTATCAAAAATAATTGAGGTAAGTTTGAAGCATTGTAAAGGCCTAAGCGCTTGATCGCAGAGCAGTTTGTCTTGCCGGAAGTGACAAGGTTAGCCCACGAGACATTTTTCCTACCCTGGTGCCTCAGGTTGTGGCAGGGCCAGCCTACGTGCCATTTTGAGTACCCTGGTGCCTCAGGTTGTGGCAGGGCCAGCCTACGTGCCATTTTGAGTACCCTGGTATCTTAGGCTGAGGCTGGGTCAGCCTACGTGCCATTTTGAGTACCCTGGTACCTTAGGTTGAGGCAGGGTCAGCCTACGTGCCATTTTGAGTACCCTGGTACCTTAGGTTGAGGCAGGGTCAGCCTACGTACCATTTGAGTACTCTGGTACCCGCATATCATAAGTTTGTGGCAAGTTCGTGAAGATATAAATGAGTGCATGATGATTGCAGATGTACATATATTGATAATCAGGTTACAAAATTCATAAAATTTACAATGTCATAAAACTAGGGAATTAAGGAGCATGGGCGGACAAATCCAGTAACAAATTAAAGAAATACTATTGATAAAAAAGCAAAATAACTAAGCTATAGACACAACAACTGAACTTTAACGCGTCATGAACAAAGCTTGAATTGAACAAGGCAATGAATTGAAAATGGAAAATTGGTACATAAACGTTAATAATTTATGAAATTCGACTAACTAATCCTATTCTGCACAATTGGTCTAATAACTTAATTAAACCAGTGTCGCCGTTCATGAAAAGACCGAACGTTTACTAAAAACTAATGCAGTCAGTTTTCTTAATTACCCTAAAATCAGCTGTAATCGCTATTTTTTCTAAAATGACAAATATTTTTACTTAATATAATTACGAATAAATGGAATATTCGAGGATTTATTTTGCGATAAAAAAATACTATAGTGGGTCACAGCACCCAACTGCATGCAGTGACGGACCCATATAAACCTTCTTCTGTAGTAAAAGTAATTGGAGAGGCTTTGTCTGTACCCGACCAGACACGCTTTTACTGATTCAGAATATCATCACATAAACCGCTCCTCCATCACATGATCGTTAATATCCAGAGGGGAGCTTCATAAAAATACTTTAGTCGTCCGTGAAAAAAGTTTAAATGTGAGATACAAGTTAAATGTTATTATACAAGTTGATTTATTAGCTGTTCACCTATAATTATTTCGATCTCAGCAGCTTCCCCATTAGTTTAGTTTTATATTTTATTGTATGTTAATTATTGCAATTTACATTTGATTAAGGCCCATCTTTGAATAGTTTATAAAGTGTTGTTTTAAAATTAAAATTTACTCAAGAAGTCAACCTTGTTAGATCAAATTTACGGATATAAGTAATAAAATTACTAGATTGCTTAAATCGCAAGTTTCCGTCGCAATTGATTAATACTCAAATTAAGAAATTCATGTCAAGGCAATATAATGAAGTTGTTCCCGATTGTGACAGTAGGAACCTGATTTACTGTTCTTTTCCCTACTTCGGTAAAGCATCTGAGACCATGGCTAAGGAATTGAAAGATTTGATCAATAAATATCTTCCGAATGTTAATCTGCAGGTGATATTGGTGAATAACTTCAAAATCGGTTCGTTCTTCAACTATAAAGATGCTCTCCCTCTTTTTATGCATTCGTCCCTAGTATATACATACAGTTGTGCGCGTTGCGCATCAGCGTACGTCGGTATGACGTCTCGCAATTTTTACACTAGGCTGGCGGAGCATAAAGGCAGAAGTTTTAGAACGGGAACTTTACTTGCGCATCCTCCTCATTCAGCTGTGCGCGTCCATGCCGAGCAGTGCAATGTTCCGGTGTCCGATAGTGATTTTAGAGTTCTAGCTTACACGACCGGTGTTACT